AGTTCTGCTTTTTAAATATCATTTGTAAAAATTTGCCTGTTTGGTAAAATTGCGACTCGTGCAGATGGGTCGTGGGTTGGGTCGGGTCGGGTTGGGTTGAAAAGTTGCATTTTCAGGCGGGTTGGGTTGGGATGGGTTGAGTTAAGTGATGGGTTGGGTTGGGTCAGTAAAAATGGACCCATGTCCACCTCTGGGTTACAATGCTGACACTTGATTGAATTGTTACCTACACAAGCTTTACAAACTTAACTGGGCCATCGTCCAGTAGCTGTGGATTGGATGGGTTCACCAGTGTTCATTGCTTTGGTTTTGCTGATGTTGACTTTGAATCCATGATCCAATCTTCAAACATCTGTGCTGCATTTTGCTCAGACGTGGCTGTTAAAACGATATCATCAGCATATATTAGATTCCAAATGTCACCAGTGCGTATCGGTTTTGTGATTTCTTCCATCCCAGTTATAAATAACAGTGGACTGAGAATCGAGCCTTGGTGAACTCCAACGCCGATGTCAAATGCATCTCTGTTTCCAATCGTTGTGCTGACGAGAGTCTTAGTATTCGTATACATTTCCATCACAAGTCGAACAAGATATTCTGGAATGAGTTGTCGACGTAGACTCCACCTGATTGCTTCACGAGGAACTCGATCAAATGCTTTTTAAAAATCTACAAAAATGTGTGATAGTTGTTGATGCTTTGCGAGGTACTTCTCTTGCAGTTGCCGAAGGATGTGAATTGCATTAATTGTTGATTTCCCCCTAGGAAACCAAATTGATAATTTCCGATTGTGATGCACGACGTTAATCTTCTTTCAATGATTTTCTCGACAATTTTCAGGGAGTGTTCTAACAGACATATACCCAGATATGATGAACAGTTCAATGGATCACCAAACGTGGACGGCAAATTCCAAACATGATCTTACCAAAGATTTATAAAGGCATATGAACGCAACATCCGACAGGTCCCTGATGTTTCTAAATAAAATTCCTAAAATACGTTTAGATTTTTAAATCTGCGTCATAACGTGCTCTTTAAAAGTAAGTTGATTATCTACGATCACTCCAAGATCACGTATGCTCTTTACTCTTGGCAAGATATGAGCAACCCCATTCGAATCAGTAATTTCATAGATTGCTGAAAAACATTTGCCAACCGATATCAAACTGCATTTACTTATGTTGACTTTGAGACTCCATGTATGAAACCAAGACATAAAACTGTTCAAGCAACTTTGCAACAGTGTACCATCTTGCCTGTGGTGCCAACAATGTACCAAAAATTTTAGCATCATCAGCATATAAAAAAATATCGCTACAAACTGAGTATATGTCGTTGATATATATCATAAACAAAAGAGGTCTGAGTACTCCACCTTGGGAAACTCCACTAATAATAGGTTTAGCACTAGATACTCGACCGTTTACACCAACAGCAAATGTTCGTCCATTGAGGTAATTTTTAATCCATCTTATCAAGTTGTCATGAATTTTATATTTATATAATTTAAATAATAATCTGGGGTGGGAACTGGTGTTGAAGGCCGTCTCTAAATTAGTATATATGACATCTGTAATGTTACCTATTTAAGCTGAGGCAGTTATTTCATCAATAAATTTTAAAAACTGCAGTGTGATTGAACGAAAGTGCAAAAAGCCATATTGTATAACGACGACGACCAAGTTATCGAGAAGACTCACGATGCACGTACAAACTGGCGCTATAAAGAAGAATCACATGAAAGAGAAACATAAAACTAAAATTACTAGACAAATCTTGGACCACAATGTTGAAATCTTACATTACAATAACAACTACGATACTTTTTAACAATTACGTTAAAAAGCATATTTCATGATTTAAATAGACCTGCATGAATAAGATTAAAAGAAACAATAAATAATCAAAAAATTGAACCAGTTATTAAAGTGTCAGTGAACGTCTTAATTAAAAAATATCTACAATAAACATAAAATATTACCTGTAGGGGTAGATATCAATTTTGAGCTTTCTTCCAAATTAACAGTAAATACAGCATTACATTTACTTTGAGCTGTTTGTTGAATATCCAATCTCTGTGAGTCTTGCAAAGGCTGGCAACATGGAGTAGGCTGCTCGGAGAACGGTGTGTGGTAATTTCCATCACGGCACAACATCTGATAAGCTTGACAACTATTGAATACCAATAGACAAACATGTTCGTTTTTTACTAACAAAGTTAGTTATAATAATGATTATTCCCCTTTATTGCAAATTAATAAGCAACAAATTTATCAATCATAGTATGGATTTCGTTAACGAAAACTAAAACGAATAAAACCAAAAGTAATGTCTTAAAAAAACTGAAATCTTCCAAAAAACAAAACAGAATTAAAACAAAAAATTAAAACGAAAAAAAGATAATTTGAAAACTTGTCTTTTTATATGAAATGCACAACATTCTCTAGAACATTGATGTTGTTTTTGATTTTCATCCATTTGATGCTTAATTCGCGTTTTTGAAAATTAGTTACTTTCAAAAATAAATAAATTTAAGCATCAGTACAATATCGGTCGTCGTCGGTGGGAAGTTTTTAATTTATCAAATCGATATAGATAGAGAAACAGGAGAAAATATAGATTAAAGTTCCGACAAATTTAAGAACTCACATGGAAACAAATCATTTGAAAAACATTTTATTAACAAAGTTTAAACATTGTTATAAATTGTATATAATTAGAATGTTAGGAGGAAATAAATAAAAAAAATATAATAAATAAATAAATAAACAAGTCAATTAATATAAATAAATATAATAAATTAGTCAAATATATATCTTTATATAGCTTACATTTCTACAATTCAAAGACACTCTAGCAAATTATCACGTGCCTCTTATTAGTAAAATATTACTAATAATAATGAAATAAATTATTACACTTTAAAAAACCCTTTTCTATTTAAAAGTACAAAAATTAGATGATAATTTTTTTGGGTTAAGTTTTATATTAGACGTGAGTCAATATAATTTTGAGAGTAAGCAAAAATTTCAATTGGCCGCCATACTGTAAAGATGCGTTTGTTGAATGCCAAAATTGTAAAATAAAATATCCAGAGACCAGAATACAAAAAGTCAAGTGTATAAAAAAAAGTAAATAAAATGACGACAATAATAAAAAAGAAAAAAAATAAAAATTATTAAAATAAATAAATTAAAATAAACAAAAGAATGAATGAATAAATAATAAAATGTTATAAATTATAAAATAAAAAAAAACAAATAAATAATTAGTTGAAAGAAAAATATTAATTAAAATGAAAAACAAATTTTGAATAAATAAAAATAACCTTAATGATATTTACACCATTTAAATTTTTCAAAAATAATGTCAATCATTAATAAAATTAAATTTAAAAAATGAAATAAAAACTAAAGAAATAAAATCTAACTTTAATAAAAACAAAAAGAGCCTAGTTTTAAATAAATTATTATTCATTATAGCTATCCATTTGAAAATGAGTACAACAATGATGAATAATTTGGAAAAATGGTCTCTTTCAAAATACATATCATAGGATTATGTTATCGCGTCGTAATTAGGCAAATACATAAAATGAAAATAAATTATAGGTTTTATTAAAAATTAAAAAGAAAAAATTATTGACAAGGTTATTTTTAAGATTGTTTTGTATTTGTTATAGATGACTTCGCTACGATTTCTTGGAACTGTTTACTATATTTACTATGTTTAATTTGAATGTTTACTATATTTTAACATTCTCTGGAATAAGGTTGTCAACTTTTCCGTATTCTTTCTATAAGGATTTATTTTCCTTGTTTGCATTTAGTTTGAGGCAAACACGGAGTTTCTGTTTTAACATTTTAACATAATATTTCAACGATTTTATGTTGAGACATCCAAATTTATAAAACACCGAGAAAACTTATGCAAAGCAGCTGCTCACAGACGTAGACAACCAAAATCAAAGAGTTTCTTTCAGTTTCTGTTATCAGATGGTCCAACGTACTTTTTATCCATGTCAACAAAATACCATACATAAAGTGTTCAGATGTTATTTAGAACAATCAATCAATCAATCTTCGTTTTGCGTCCAGAGACCCGGTTTCCCGAGGTAGGATGTTGTTTTCTTTGCCATCAACCTTTTGCGCCAAATTAGACGATCGGTTGTATCCATTTCATTTAAATTTAGAGCTTTCATGTCTTGCTCGATTGTTTGCAACCAGGACTTCTTTGGACGGCCTTTGGGACGTGTGCCAGGTACCTCAACATCTGCAAGAGAAGTTATGGCACTGTTTCCACTTCGTTTGACATGACCAAACCATTCGTCAGTCGACATTCGTCCTTTATATCATCTAAACCAGCACGACGCAGGATTTCGGTAGATTTTATTGGTCCTTCAGACTAATGTGACTTTCTCTATTTTAATGGCTTCAAAAACAGTACTATTTCGAATTTGTTGTTGTGGATTGATGCAAGCAGGACAAACAAAATTGGACACTTTAGATAAAGTACCAATTATTTTTGAACAACATTTGTGACACCACTGGTTACACTGCTGACACTTGATTGAATTGTTACCTACACCAGCTTTACAAACTGAACAAGGCCATCGTCCAGTAGCTGTGGATTGGATGGGTTCACCAGTGTTCAATGCTTTGGTTTTGCTGATGTTGACTTTGAATCCATGATCGGCGAGTCTGGTGTTCCAATCTTCAAACATCTATGTTGGGCGACACATGATCCGCCAGGTATAACTTTGACGTTTTTGAACAGCCTTCGGTATGGTTGCTTGACAGCGAAGAAATCAATTTGCGTGGCTTGGCTGATGGTTCACTTTTGTATGTTATGAGATGTTCAAACCTCTTTCTAAAATATGTGTTCAGTAAACAAAACCCGTGACTTTCAGCAAACTCAATGATGCGGTTGCCATCTTCATCCCGTTTTCCATAGCCAAAACCGCCATTTACGTTGTCAAAACCATCTGTTTTCTCAACAACGTGGCCATTGGGATCACCTCCAATCAAGATTGTTTCATATTTTGGTATTGTTGAGATGGTGTCAGAGAACGCAGAAAAAATAATCATTGTTTGCTTTTCTATGCGAAGTTTGATCCACATAAGACGTGAATTAATCCTTTTAATATCCAGTACTTCTTGGGCTAGCGGTTCTCTGACAAAAATTCCAACACCATTTTTGGCCGTCTTTTGACCATTCCAGAATAGTTTATATTTTTCTTTGTCTGAGTTGACATGACAGACACCATTCGATTTCCATCGGGTTTCCTGAAGCCAGCAGATGTCAATCCTTCTATGCTCGAGCATTTCTGCGATTTCCATGCTGCGGCCAGTCAGTGATCCAACATTGAGCGTTCCAAGTCTAAGTACCATAGAGGGGCCATTCTGAATTTTTCTGCAACATCCCTCCGCTATTGCATACTTCCCAGGAATTCTTGCACCCCTTGACCACTTAAGGCCTGCTGGGGTCTAGGGGTCGTTGTTTTTCTTTGTGATGGCATAGGAATAATTTGGGGAAAAGTTTTTACATCCGGACACCCATCCTGACGAATGTATAAACAGTTTATTTAGAACAAAACAAATCATCTTAGTTTTCAACAATATATATATATATATATATATATATATATATATATATATATATATACAATATTCTATAAATTCTACCGAATGTTTGGCGTTAATATGTTTGTAGTTCGTTTTTTCGATTTTTCTCACTAAAGTTTTTTGGTGAACGTTTAGTTTATTAAAATTCAAAATAAACTTATTTTTCGAATTCATGCTGCAAATAAGGCCATATTTCGATTCCGAATGAATCATCATCAGTGCTCCTTGCTGTATATATAGGGAAATATTGACTTTGTCAAGATGAACTTTGACGTTGTAAAAATTAACTTTGGTGTTGTAAAATTGAACTTTGATGCGAATTAGGTGTCAGGTTTCTTTATTGGCTGGTCATCTTCTTTGGTCTCCTTTTCTTCATCGATAGCATCATATTCTTCTTTGTCACTATTTACGATTCTAGTTTTTATTACTTCTTTGTTTTCGTTGTTGGTTAAGCGCCGGGTTGGAAGTGATGTAGTCATTTTTTGTTGTATATTTATTTTTGGTTTATTGAAGTCAATTAGGACTGCTTCTGCAATTTTAAGATGCGTGTAGTTGCTGTTCTGGTATATTACTTTGGTGTTGCTGTCGAGGATTTCACGGCTAATAGTGATTGAGTGTGTTGAGTCCAAATGAGATTTGATAGCACCACTCTGTTTATGCATCGTAAGCCTTCTAGTCAGTGAGGTAGTAGTAATCCCGATATATGAGTCATGTTGACGTGCACAGCCGTCAAAGAGGCAATTAAATTCATATATTACGTGATTACGCTTTAACTCAGAGTTATCTCTAGGACTGCAGTTGTTTTTCAGTATTAAGTGAGTCGTCTTTTTATTGTTGTAATAAATTCGGAGTTTAACTTTACTATTTGGGTTGGTTGGTGTATATATATATATATATATATATATATATATATATATATATATATATAGCCGAGCATGAAAAGTTAAGTTTAAAATATGATTTAAATATACTTTCAAAATTTATATTGAAGTCGGAATGGCAAAAAAACTCCGACTTTTACTCTGGGTGCACCAAGAATTTAGATTCCGACCGACTTCGACAACCTTATCAAGAAAACGACAACACTATGGAAAAAGGCACGATCTTTGTGCACGAAGAAATGCATCAGAAAAGAGTAATTATTACGTTCAAAAATAGTAATAAAAAAATTATTTAAAAAAATAATAACCTTTCGTAATATCTTTTTTGTATCCTAGATTTTAATGAGCATGAAAAACCTTTTGAAATGAAATAAAAACTAATTCATAATTACCATAATAAAGTTTGCCATTACAAAAAGCACTTTAATTATAAACAATATCTTCAAATTTTGTTGATTACAAAACTTTTATATGTATTTTAATGAAAAAAAGTTTCTCACAGTAACGATTTCTTGAAAAATTATCAGCAAATTGTAAATTTGCTAATTGCTTCGTTAACAATCGAATTGCCGTAATAAATGAAAAAATAATCATGAAGAAAAAATTGAATTCATATCTTTCTTTATTTTTTAAGTCATTTGATTTATAAAAAAAAATAATTACTTAATTTAACTTAACCTGAAATAAGATATAAGTACTCACAATCTCCTACTCTCATCTGTACCGTTGCTTCAGGTCAGTGCTGATAATATAAGCTAAACAGACGGCATATTATTTACATATTAATAAATTTTTATTACGTCTTTTTTTAAAGGAAAAAGTATGGCTAAAATGGTGTATAACTACCATAAAAAAGATTGCAAAAAAGATTGCAGTAAATACCAAAGCTTTCTCACGTACTCTTGTATTTTACAGACATGTTGCAGTATAAAATTGAAGATAGACGATGACAAGTATGCTAGGTATATTCCATAATCTGACCATTCTTTAAATCTTGTTGGTAGAAGGACAGTTGACAGCAATATTTTTTGAAATGTTCAAGAAAACATTTTTTCTTCATTTATATACAGACGGAAAAAATGTAGAAGTTCCAAAGTCTACACCGACTTAAGCCACTGAGCCCTATGAAGCTATAAACATTTTGACTACAATGAAAGAATTTGAACTCATGGTCACGTCAAACTTGTGGAGCTACTTGCTAGATGAATTCACAAAAGAAGTCAGTTTCTTAAAAAAACCCAAGACCTACCTTTTTCAAATTTGTAATACAAATTTTTCTTGTAATAGCATTTGTCTTATTAATAGAATTTTGTTCTATTTTTCACTTAACTCTTATTATAAATTTAGCTTTAATGTCTCTTATGATATTTGAGTCTTACTTTTAGTGTCGGCATTTTATAGTGGTCTGTTATCACCAAAACCTTCGTATTTTAACTTTATTGTGGATGTTTATAATTTGACATATATTTTATATGCTTCTTTTTTATATCAAGAAATTTTAATTCTCGTTTAAATGAATCGTAAAATTTTCAAATTTCTAAACTAACTCAAAGCAACTATTTTTGTAAAACATTGTAGGCTTTCTTTTAACTTCCTCTCTAATTAGAGCAAACAAATTAACAAACTCCAGTTTTTTCCATTATTTTGAAACTTTTAGAACTTCAACATTGTTCAGTTTATATATTAACGACCTGCTAACTAATCTGAAATTTACAACAAAGTTGTTTGCAGATGATACAAAAATCATGAGTTCAGTTTCATCAAACAAGGAAGTTGTTGAACTCCAATCTGATATAGATACGGCATTCAAATGGACCCAAGACTGGCTTTTGCGATTCAACGTTGGAAAATGTGTTGTAATGCATTACGGATCAGATAATAACAAATGTCCTCTGTATATTAATGGAAAACGCCTTGTTGAGTCTGAATCTGAGAGACCTTGGAGTGATTTTTTCAACTAATCTTAAATGGAAGAATCAAGTCATAGCGGTATCTAACAAAGCAAATCGGATGCTTGGTCGAGTGAGGAAATCTTTTGGAAGATTTGATAATAAATTGCTCCGCAATTTATACATAACTTTTATTCGACCACTTTTGGAGTTTGCGGTGTCAGTTTGGCCCCAGATTTGGAGGGTGATATTGAAGAGATTGAAAGAGTCCAGCACAGAGCAACAAAATTAGTTCCTTCTATATGAAATTTTGCTTACATTGATCGTCTCAGAGAATTGGATCTAACAACATTGGTAGAAAGAAGAAGAAAAGGAGATTTAAATCAGATATTCAAAAGCAAGCACACAATGGACAGAATTAATTTAATAAATCAATTTAATAATGTTGTAACTAGAACGCGAGGTCACAGTATGAAATATTACAAAGAAATAACAATACATAGAAGCAGAGAGAATTACCTATTCAGAAGAACAGCAAATATCTGGAATTTATTGTCAAATGACTCGTCGATGCGCAAACATTAAATAGTTTTAAAGCGGGTATTGATTGTTGGATGAATAACAATCAATTAACGAATTGGCTGTGCTAGCATGCCTGACAGCATGCTCTCTAGATATATTTCCAGAACAGCATTACTACTACTACTACTACTACTACTACTACTACTACTACTACTACTACTACTACCTCTCCTCTATTGATAACACTTTTATTTAAATACTAAAATTTAATCGGTTATCATAACCTTATTTGAAAAATTATTGGACCATTTTTGTTTCAATAATTCTAACATTTTGAAGATCACTAGATCAAAAATTGAAAACAGATTTTTAAAAAATTGTTTAACTGTAAAGACTATAAATTACTTTAATTATTTAAAAAAACTTTTATTTTGCGATAGACTTAGAGCTACAGCACCTCCAGAACGCAAACATTTTTGAAAAATTTAACTTTTCTATACAAAATATCTTTTGTTTCAAAGCAATAATTTTTATTTTTTTCTATTATTATATTGTTTCATTAATATGTTCAACTGAAATTATTGAGATGTGTTGGCTAGTTTGAGAAATATAGCGTTTTACAAGTCTCGAAAAAAAATCACTTAAAAATTGGAAGGCGGTATCATAAAAGTCTTCATAACTTGGAAAATAATTGAAATATTTCTAATCAAATTTTATTTTGTCGATGAAATACATTGAGATACTTTCTGTTAAAATTTTAAAAAGAATCGGAGATGATCAGGCGTAGACCATGGTTCAAGTTGACAAAATGACTTAGATACGTAAATTGTATCTTAAAAATTAAGTGATAAAAATCCAGTTTGAATTCGAAATCTGACCCAATTTAGCTGTTTTTGGAAAAATGGCCAAAATTACAAAATAAAACATTAGACTCCTTAAAATTTCCAACTACATATTTCTATATTGTTGTAAAGTACTAAAAAGTTGTACTTCTAAATTTTCAAGTACAAGTACAAAAACGATGTAAAATTACAAGTACAAGTACTTAGGTGTCAACTACAAGTACTTTAAATTGGCACACGAGTATTGCATAGAGTGCTGCACAAATTGCATTATTGTTATTATTACTGAGTGCAAGTACCAAGTATAGCACCGATTACTGGTTAAGTGAACTTAATACAATGTTTATTACAAACATAAAGGAAAAATTTTATTTAAATACAGTAATTGATGATGAAAACATTATTAAAAATAGCGATACATAAATAAATGAACAATGCGAATGAAATATTGTGACATAACCGGTAATATGATCAAAAATATTTAAATACATTAAAATTCTCGAGAGCGTTGTCCTAAAGAACGAACGGTTAAAAGTAACGGACAGTGTTGCTCATCCCGGAACTTTTTTCTGTTGAATAAC